CTACAAACAAATCACACATAACACAGGTTGAAATGTGTCCGTACAAATCACACATATTATATGTCGAAAATTGTACATTTAAATCACACTCCAAAGTTGAATCTTCGTTTTTACAAATCACACACACAAAAGGTATTTCTTGCTTCATACAAACCACACACTCACCACAGGTAGAAATGTGTCTATACAAGTCACACACATTACATATCGAAAATTGTACATACAAATCACACACCACAGGTAGATCATCGTCCATAGTAACCACATGTAATGAGATGTCACATAAAACCATATAACAAACACACAAATAATTATTACCATACAACTCCATGCAATAAATATTTTTGACTTAGGGCAAACTACTTAGAACAATCATGGAGAATAATAAATGTTACCATGTCAGAATTGTGCTAAATATGGGTACAAACACTCGTCGGGAATATGTTATATGAGTGTCTGAAATTCTATTTACAAGGAATACATTGTAGAACGAAATCCTTATGAATATCAGTGATACATTTTCTCTTCTCCTAAACGCAATAGCTGCTGAACGGAAGTCACGTCACCCCTGAGTCGTGAAATTACTACTTGACAATAATCAATGTTCTTCTTCCACGCTTACACAATTATTCGTCAAGTCAGCTAACAACTATTTATTATCTATCCCTTACCAGATGATCAAATATCACAAAATATGACATCACATATATTATTACTACATAACTGAAATTTCAAACTAAACCTATCCATATGACAATATTTAATGACAAATATAGCACTGAAGTATGACAGCAACTTGATTGTTACATATTTTATTGTATGACAGGGAAAACAATTGACATATGAAAAAATACGCTAATACGAAGTATATTTCAACTTAGAATGTTATTTGCATAAATAACTTACACGTTTGTCTTTAAAGGATTTGACTAGGAGTTATATGACAAATTAAAATTTGTGATAGCATATGCATTCTTTGTTTCCAGTTTAGACGATGTGCAAGATGCTTTTGATATGAAAGATGAATTGGTGAGTACATTATAGCGATTCCAATTATTTGTGATATTAGCTCATAATGGTATCAAATTCAAGGTTGAATTATTTCAAGAACTAAACAAATGTAATTACCACATTGTGTAAATCGTGCATGTTTGTGTATATCCAACAGTTCTATTTGTATGCATAACTATACGGTTACTGCATAGTGCTATAAGCTTGAGATTGATTGATTATCAAAGCCGTGTTACTTTTAACAACTGCTTTATTTTTAACTAATTCTATATCAAACTCTTCCACATGAATTGGAGATTTTAGGCTATTATTAAACCAGTCATTTGGTATTTAATAGACGGATTTGTCTAAAATGCATACAGTAGGGTAGATTTGTTGAACTGAAAAAGTTATGTAAATGAAACTTACACAGATTAGTGAACTTTGAGAGAGAAATGAAAGGTTTTCATAGAGATTATTTTTATACAAGTCAGAAAATGTATATCATGTTGTTGAGTAGTAGGACAAAATCAATTACAACTTTTTTTTAGAAATCCTCACCAAATAAAATTGGAACCCTGCGTTTCGCGCAATGAGAAAGCATAAACTCATGTGTAGTTATCCATTTTGGCAATGACACTCATTCTGCAAGACGTAGCAAAGTTTCGAAACGAATCTTTTTGTGTGGATTGAAAAGCGACTGAGACTTTTGCAAATTTTTGGCTGGGATGCCTTGCGTCTAACATGCCAATATTTAGTTTTTTTTTTTTGCAATTCTGAAGAGGACTTGAGTATATGAACTATTGGTAGCTGATAAACAGCATTACAAATATGTAATCGGAATGATATGATTATTTCAGGCTTGTAGTTCTGTATTTCATACAATAACCCATCTCAGCACATACAAACATCTTTTGCATCGAACGTTTTTTACGTTCTGCTTTATTGTTGGTGGGCAATCCAATGGTAATTTTTGCTTCCAGACAATAAATTGTAATTCCCCCAAAATTGTAGAAATTCTATTACTTAGGTGGTCAAAACACGAGTCCTTAAATTGATCTAGAACCTATCGATGATACATATAATATTTAACATTCTAATGACACATGCATACCTATGATTTGTTGCATGAAGCAACGTCTATGTTGTAGAAATAATTCATCACATCATGGTAGTTCAGGAGGAGGAACTGGAAGTGGAACGGGGGCAGCTGGAACAGGGGCTGGTACAGGAACAGGAGCTGGTCTGGGGGCTGTTGTTACTGCTGGCACAACCGCAACTGTTGCTGGTATTGCTGTGGGTGTGGTTACCATCATAACTCTTAGTGTTGTGTTACCGGTGCTGCTTACAAATCGAAATGGAAATTGTAAATACATATTATCAATACATTTGACATTTGTCACTTTGACTTAATTTTTTTTATTGGGGCACAATTTTATTACAGAATATTCAATTTAAATTGCTACCAAATACTTAATATAACAAAATAGGTCGTACTGGCAACAGTTTTATTATTAAATATACCTTCAGCACTTTTCTAGTAATCATTTTTTTACTCGACATAACGATAAATGATTTTATTTTTGCAGATTCAACCAGTTTCAATAACACGATCAGTAATCTAAAAACTATAGCAACCGCTTCCTCAACTGATACTGTGCCGAGCATAACCAACATATCATCCTTACCCAGTACATCCCTAACAACATCCATTAAATCGACAGTAACACAAACCACATCACCATCCAGTACATCGCGTTCAACACAGCCACATGTGATAGTTACGTCAACAGTATCACCAATGACATCACTTCCTCATACAACACCGATACAGACAACAGTTACGTCATCAGTAACACCAATCCCGTCTTCTGAAATTACATCATCTTCACGGACAACACAATCACAAACAGCGATTCTGACGTCATCAGTATCGACGACCATGTCTTCTGAGTTCAAATCACCGCCACGTTTAACACGACGGCAAACAAGCATGCACACGTCATCAGTACCACCGACCATGTCTTCTGAGTTCAAATCACCGCCACGTTCAACACGACGGCAAACAAGCATACACACGTCATCAGTACCACCGACCATGTCTTCTGAGTTCAAATCACCGCCACGTTCAACACGACGGCAAACAACCATACACACCTCATCAATAACACCAACAATGTTTTATGAAATTACATCAGCTTTACAAACAACGCTACTCGTGTCAACAGTACCACCAATGACATCGCCTGAAAATACGTCGCCTTCTCATACAGAACACCCCAGCACTACGGTAGTTACGTCAACAGTACCGCCATCCACAGTTTCGAATATCATTGCAAGTGAGGTTACCACAAGTGAATCAGTTCACCAATCGACCATGTTGATATCAATGATGCCAGGTGTGTTCACATAAATCACGTGACTTGATTTGAATTATTAATTGGATTATTGTGAATTGTCGATTCAGTAATAAATATGTAAATATGCTTGTTTAAAGGGTGGTAGTCGTCGTGCCACGCATGCGCGTGATATGGGTCTCATATAAACAATGATGGCCGATTTGACTGTTGCGCATATCAACCAGTACAAACTGAGACGTTACCAAGCTTTAATTATGTAGTTTTAGGTGATTAAAAGATATCGAAGGAGTCACCAGCGGTAATTAGAGCAAGTTGCGTTAAATTAAAACCTCATACTTGTGATTTCCATTAGATGAGCGCATCGGATTGTGAGAAAATTGATGTTTATCAACACAAATGTCGGACATGCGCAGCACGACGACTGCCGCCCTTTAAATTTACAAGTGTGCCACATGCAGTCAGGTATGTGACATACAACCAAGAACAAATATGTCATATGTCTACCAATATGATGGTCAGAACATTTACTAATGATCCTTCTGTATGCAGTATTATGTTCATAACATTGTGATGTGTCTCTCTTTGCATTGTGATGTTTATAACATTCTTGTCACGTGATTAGTGTATACGATCAGATGGTAAACACGTTATATCCAGGGGCGGATCTAGGATTCTGGAATAGGGGGCCGATATGTTGGCCTAAGGCCAAGTTCGCGAGCGCCGATGGCTCGAAGCAATGTTGGTTGTTAATAATAGGGGCCAAAACCCCCTCGGCCCCCATCTAAATCCGCCAATGATATCATGAGTATCCCGGATGCTCGTAATATTCGGCAGTGCTTCCAGTATGAGAAAAATAAACAATTATATCAAATTTCTTTGATGTACCCTTTACTGTACAATCTGACGGACGAATCCCCCCCCCCACCACGCGCGCTAGAAGGTCCGTTTTTCTAATGCATAATATTTTTTAAAAGGCGGACTAATTTTTATCACCAGAGCGGGGCTGGAAGTCCTAGAAAAATTGCTCACTTTGTCATACAATAAAATGAACCCTGAGGTTTACAGTTAGGTATTCCCGAGTCCGTATTATACTGGTAAAGACTCGTACGGGGCGCGCACGTGTTAAGAAAACAACTTTCACGCCATGAAAGCGGTGGACCGATGTGAGCCGACGCCACTCTCAGTCAAAAAAGTGACGTCTGGCTGATGTTATGTTAACGGCGCCCGGAAGTCTCACTTGGTGGCCTGTGAATGACACAGACCAAGCGCCGACACAGTCCCCTAATGTCATATAAAGCCTGCCGCTGGTCATGATGTGGTTTCACCAATTTTTGAGAGGGAAAACCTATCAAACACAAGAGTGTTAAAAAGCATCCAGTTTTCGTGTCGGTGGTCGAATACAAATTGAATGTGGTATCAAAGCTAATGGGTTAGAACATGATTATGTATGCGTTATATCAAAGAATAATTAAAATCTGGAGGCTATTTCATAACGAATGTATTCAACCTTTCGTTTTCATCGTTTCAGAATTTTCACATTGTAAGAAAATCACCTACTTGTGTATTAATGATAATATTTATGAAAAAATAGATTTACAAACATTTTAATTGTCATACTTTATTGTTTACGTTAACAGAATCTACGTCATTCCATATTACTGAGCAACCAACCACAATTCAGTTTATGACGTCACCAACTCGCCAAGTTACAACGACCACAATGTCAAGTACGCATGCGTCAACGCTGGCAGCAACAACACCTAGATGTTCAATCATTGACCTGAACAATACTCAACTTGGTAAGCTGCAACAGATATTTATATCGTCATACACTATGTATACATAATATATGTATCTAATGATATATCTGCTTAATATAGAATATAATCAAGGTTTCTTTTCTATTTCACTAGCGAAATTAATGCATTTTCACAATTGAATAATGAAGTGTAGCTTAAAAACATGTATAAAAATAAGTATTTTCAATATGTGGAGCCAAGTGATTCTATGTTGTGAGGCAATTTGGGAATTTATCATATCAATACCTCATATTGCTCCACCTTGTAACGCTATGGGAAGCGAGCACTCGCACCAGGCCAATAAAAACAGAACGCGTATTTCCATATTACGTCGTAACTTTGAGGTCTTGCGATGGTAAAATTGTAATGATAACAATCTGTTTGGACATGCGCACCTTCGCGAGCTCGGGCGCTCCTGCCGTACGATCTCGGGCCGCAAAAGATTAGTGTCTTTGTTCCGTTATTGTAGCCATAAAACACGTCATAATATGTTTCATCTTTCCATTACGTAACCATCTGTAGCTCCGGTTGCATTCTGGCCGCTGAATACACTGTATCAACTTGCAGACATATCTGGTAATGGTAACAATGGCATTGCTATAGGAACAAATCTGGATATCAATGGTCGTACATGTGGTGCATATCGATTTTCTGGAAGTGCCAACTCCTACATTGAGTTTCCAAATGACGGAGCATTCGATACGCAGTATTCTATAACAATGCTGGCATATATATATACAGAGGGAGAATCCGGACTTATATTTAACTTCGGAACAAATTCTTGGGGTGTACACCTGTTTCAAACTGATGAAAATGAATTATTCACAAGAATGGTAAAACGCGATGGTGACTTTACTGATGCAATCTTTGACAATGCATTGCTTCAGAATAAATGGAACTTTGTAGGAGCAAGCTACAATAACACATCAGGAAACGTTAAGCTTTGGTATAATAACGAAATGATTGCAAATACCAGTATTGGAACTGTTGACTTAGCAACTAACTACGTTGGTAGGATGGGGGCTTTCAATGGAGATTCTCGTTATTATACAGGAATGATTACTTGTTTTCAAATTTATGATGAAGAGTTGACAGATGCAGAGATTCAAGAAGCACAGTGGTTATGCTAATTCATCAATCATCTAACAACTGAATTCTACTGCACTGTTATAATATAGTAATTGTATTGCTTATTACAGAACTATTGTTAGTGAACTTTAATTTGATAAATATAATAATATCGTCTTCAAACGATCAGTACAGAACAGTAACACAGTAGTAGTCATGTAAGTTTATTCGGATCTGTTATATTTGTGGTTCTACTTCATCGTCAACAACGTGGCATCCATAGTTTTAAAATGAGTGTTAGAAAGATTAGCCGAAACAATATTCGAACGTATACTTGCACATTTACAGTGTTATGATAGACCATCATTGTATCGTTGCAATCACTCTCTGTAGGATTTTGAAAATATGTTAACACAGTCAATACAATACTGAGTGCGAAATGGAATGAAATGGGAATGGAAACGGTATTACTGTATATGTTACGTCATAAAATAAACGTTTATACAATAACTGGGTCACAAAAACAAAGATGCATTCTCGTATTCCATCAAATATATACTACATAATAAAACATGACATGTACATTACTATCTCAATGATAGATAAGTTATGATTTTATTCCAAAAATCATTAGAAAGAAAATAAATGAATACAACATAGGTCAATGATCTCGAATAGAGAAACGCTAGTTACCATTACCAATTGATATTGCATATGAGCCGTATATGTCGGGGGTTTCTGTTTAAATAACGATAAAAGCGGTGCATGAAATTCGTATAGTGGGTTTTTAGTATGCATGTTTTTACAACTGATTTGTGAGTGTGATTAATACCCTTCTATGACCCAGGAGACTTGATATAAATTACAGGAGAATCAATGTACGAGAATCCGCAGCGAGTACAACTCCTTAACATAACCATTAACAGGGGAATTTGGATGAAATTTACGTTCTGACGGACTTTTGGTAGTGGATTTAAACAGGACGGCAGATTTATTGAAGAAAAACAAACCAATTTATTATTCTATCGCGGACAAATTATTTAGCGACACAATTGATGAAACTCCTGTCTTGCCATTTTTGGAGGTCAAAACTATTACTATAATTGAAACCATTCTGGCTATAATATGTACAGGGTCGCTGATTTTGTCAGTGTATACAATTTGTAAGGTGAGAACTTTGAGTATATTGATTGCAACCCTTCCAAGGGCCCGGGCTAAAACTTTATATTGCCAGTAGATGAGTTAATTACAGACCATCCCTTGCGAGATTTCCGCTGATATGCATTAGATAGAAAACCAAATGCTGAATATTTGGGTAACAAGCTGTGCTGGCACCTCTCCTTGGTAGAGTAGGACATTTGAAAATATAATCATTGCATTTAGAATTATATCCATTGTGTTTAAATTTATAAACATTTTATTTGGAATTATAAGCATTGTATCTAGACGTATAGTCATTGTATTGAATCATTGTTTTTACTCATTTGAAACTATACATTTTGTTATATTAGTGTGTGTTTATTTGCACGACGAGTGTTGATGTATTTGACGTGTGGAATATAAGTGTGACGACATCTTTGACATGGGAACATTATGCCCGGAGTGCATAAGCAGAATTTGAAAAGGGGGATGTATCATGATTTATATTTCGGCCTAATGGTGGTTGCCATGACATCTACTGATAAAGGTTAAATGATGAGGCCAGATGACAAGACTGGTTGAGATCAGTCGACACATTCTCATGAGCTTGCGATTTCAAGCTTATGCGGTACTTTGGTCGTAGTCCAGAACTAATGATGTATATTGATGTCAACTGTGGAATGTTATTGCAAGACTATTAGTACCCATAAATATAAACTGACGTTGACACTATGATAGTGGTTTTCCTAATATAGTGACGATTAATCAATTGTATTATGATGTGTAAAACTTTCGTGTGATTGGCTGTGTGTTTGGGGGCAACGCCTCAAAGTCTCTTATACTCTATTGTAATTGGCTAATGGTTGACAAGTTAATAACGTGATTTGAAGCTGTCTCGGGAGGAGAGCACGAGTCAGTCGGAGAATCGAAGGTGACACGAATTGAGCTTCTGTGAGTTTTTTTGTGAGTCCAACGTGGAAAACAATCGAATCCCGGTTAACTAAGTGAAAGGTTTCGAAACATCGAAAATACCTATCACAGTAGAATAGCGCTGAAGTGCAGTTCATTCTGTCTGGTTGATGAGCTGCGTATGCTTTGTAGGCACGAACTGAGCAAATGTCCGGTGTTTTCGGTGTAGCATAGGACTTTGGTGCAAACGTTCTAGTATTTTCTGGCTACCAGTGACAAGCTTTAGTGAGTCTCTCATTATATACTAGAAACTCGCCATTTTCGTCACTCTGTAGGACTACATCATCCATTCATCTGACGGTGTTCGTTGTTTCCACGTGTTGTTTTACTACACGGTGTTGATAATGGCTCTTGCGGAGTCTAAACCAAATTTCCCAGCATTCAGTAACGCCTTCTCTTGATCTCTCGTAATTGGTTGTAATTTGTTAGGCAAATAACCAAAAGGAACAGCCTTCAGATATTTCCTTTTAGTCTCAAATGTCTTTTTTTTACGAATACCGAAATAAAATTGTGGTGGTATATCCTTTTTTGTGTGTCACGCTTCGTTTTCATCGCCGTATTCTTGTTTTTCTGCTCGCCACAACGTCGCCAGCAGAGACTTTCTGGTACCTCGATGGTTGCTGCTCCGTAGAAATCGTTGATTTTACTGTTACACTTAGTTTCCAGGTGATCAACAAACATTACGTTCCCCCAATCGTAGTATTCCATGTGATGTACACTTAATTTGAACTGGATAAAAATAGCAGACGAAAATTTGTTTACAAAATAAAAATAGTTCGGTTGCCAATGGAAATATCGAATACATTATTGCATTGGTGATATGCTAATTCGTTTTTGATAAAATAAGTGACTGCCTAAAAGTACCACTATTGTTGTCAAATTTCATTTCACTCGGCATGTATATTTATGTACCCCCAAGAGAAAAATATCGTACTTCTAAATATTGTTTATTTCTGCCATGTTTTGAAAAATTGCACTCCTGAATGGACCAGTTTGTTTGCTCTCATACCTCATTTGCATAGTGGGCGTGGAAATACCGATTTTGATTTCAGAGACGAATCAAAATAAACTGCAGTACATATGTAATTTAATGTTTATTTACGAGTTCCCAAACTTTGCACTCAATTTTGGTAATAGTGCTTGCATAAAGTTGGATGGCATTAGTCCATAAACACTCCAGTGACACATTTATGTACCCTCAGTGTTTTTATTTTGTGTACTTTTGTGTGTTTAAATTGTGCTTCAGTTTCTGCAACAAGCGTTTTAATAACTCCACAAAAACAATAATTTTGAAATGATAATAAAATCTGTTTTGAACAATGTATTGACGAAAGGTAAAATGTAGATTATTGGTAATATTGACTAAGTGCTTTATATATTATTTATAATATATGCAAATTTAGTCATAACATTGCGGGCATTTGAACTTATTCGTAAGTGCATGATTATATTCAACGAATCAATATTTTTTAGTGTATTAACGCCCCGCTTCGGCTCTGGTATCATCAATCTTATGGTCATGATCACCATCCCTTGTCAGGCAACACATCGTGATATTGCCCTCACAAGCATGTGTTATTATTCAAATATAGTCACTTCTTCTAGAGTACTTAGTTCACGACAGTCACAGTCACTCGTTCTTGGGTGCATATCCACTGTTTCTGGGGTACACAGTCACCGTTACGAGGAATGCTAAGACATCGAGTCTATTGACTTAAATTATGATCAAAATGAAACATTCTAGTAAATGCATTGCTTGAACAGCTACTGTTATTCATATCATTACATATTATCTTAGCAGAGACATTTGTGTGTGAAAAATACTCTCTACTGCCTGATGTTTCTAAAAATGAGCAAATCCTGCTGGTATATACAGCCGTAATATTACTGTGTGGAAAACATTCACTGGAATAGCAGTATCATTGTTTTTTAATGTGTCAAACTAGTTATTTTCTACTTTTGTTTTTGTCTGTTTCTCGTATTATTTAATTAAATCATTTAATGCCAATTATAGTATTATGCAGTAAATATTATTAAACTGTATATTGTATTTAACTCGTAATTCACATTAATTGAAACACTACATTAGATGTAACCCTAATGTTATCAGTAAATAAAGATTAAAATAAATACTGAGAAGACATTTTCCTTCTTGAAAAAAGTTGCATATAACATGACAAAAACAAGAATAGCTTTGTACAATTTTTATTCAATTTAAATGTGTGTGTATTTAAAAAAAATATGTTGGCGGTTTTGACATCCGGAAAGCCAATACTTTTGAATACATAATTATAACAAATATCGCTAATATAATGATGCACGCTTAGGGTTAATTGTACTATGCATTTTATTATATATTTAGAATAGTTCTACTGGTGTACAATAAATTCGTTGCATTCTATTCTAATATTTTATTATTCCCAGGGGCGGACACCCGGGCATATTCACCGCCTGAGAACCATCGCGGTGAAAAAAGGGGCTGAAAACTCTCAGAAAACTGTACTTTGCAATGGTTGTTGAGACTCCCCTGAACAGTGTAACAAGTGTGTGCACCATATATTAATTTGGCTGTTCAGGATTACTTCGAAGTTGAGTTTGTACTGTTTTCTCAAATTTAGCTATTTTCACCGGCTCTTCGACCGCGCAAAGACCATATGAATGCATGGTACAGTGGTGCGCGTCATAGCAACGTGGATAATCGTGTTACGTAGCTCCGTCCCACGAGGATTCTCAATATTGCACACCTGCATGATCGATCCCATTCACGACTCTCTTGAATGGTATTCTAATATTAATATGCAGAAAAACAATTGCAGTGATTGACGTTATTAGTCTAGGTTGTGTTGTTTTGTGTTTTATTGTGTCTGGGATTTAGGGTTGACATATTTATATATATATGCAATAGAAAACTAATCGGCTTAATACATAAATATTAAGCTATTCAGTTTCCTGA